AGAGAAAGGCCCAACGATCACATGACCCCCTATGAGCAAGTTCTTTATGTTATATTTACGTTACATTAAATTTCTTTATTCACACTGTTTACTGCAAAGTGTCAAACATGGACGTACATATAGATGTGCTGTAAATATAAGACAGTGTTAAGAGTATAAGTGATATAACAGTACCTTTCACTTCCCCATTTATTTATGTTTACATTCATATTCTTTAGTTTCCCTTTCATTCATTCATGGACCTTCCATGTGTACGGACATGTGCAGGTATATATGTCTGTATATTTAGTGTGTACATGTCTATAAACAGGAATAGTAGTGGTACAATAGCTATATCAAGCTATATAGTTTATGTCTTCCATATTTCCAACCATATCCATAATCACATACTGTGTATGCTACTATTGTATATAGTGTATTATCTAACTTTTTTTCATTGATTGTACTTATTGTATTTTTGTATTTCCTTCTGATATCTGTATATATACCTGAGCTGAGGTGACGCAAAAATTTCCCCGTTGTGGGATCAATAAAGTCTTATCTTATTTCTCCAACCGCTGCCATAAAGTGAACCAGGTTTCATCTTACAGTAATAGAAAAAAGGAATACATTCCAGCTCACACCTTCTTTTACCAAGAATGATCTATTTAAATATCACAGCACATCACAGATGTTGACTTTGCCATTTTCACTCATGGTAAGTATCTGTGGGTAAAAGCAACAGCTTAATGTGCAAAGTACAAATTTAACAAGCTGCAGGAGGCGAGGAACAATCAGGACACTGGAGGGAGCAGCAACAGATTCCCCAGCCTGTCTAATTGCTGAAAGGAGACGAAGGTGACACTAGATTAACTCAGGTATGTCATGGTTACAAGCTGAACACAGAGGCACTGCAGCAGCAAGGAGTAAGAAGCATTATAAAGAAACTGTGTTAATAAGCCTTACCTACCTCTCCTGGTAGAGCAATAACTAAAGACTGGAAGACCAGACTGAGCAACCTAAAAATATAAAAGATTAACAGAACCATAAAAGTCTTCGTCAGGATGGAAAAGCCCACACAAGTCACCATCAAGTTACTACATAGGCCTGATTCCCCTCAGCCAGATCATTAACGAGGCTGGCTACACATACCCATTAGGCATCTCCTCTAAGATATCAAGCTGTATGCCAGGAGTGAATGACACAGTGATTGACTGATCCAAACCACACGGATCTACAAATGCAACATCGGAATATCATTCGGACTAGAGAAGTGCAGACGGATGATAACAAACAGAAGGAAGGTAGTGGGAACTGAGGAGACTGTACTACCAGAAGGCAACCCTGCACACATCAAAGATAAGCAACAGAGCTGTTTCTGAGTTTTATTTACCAAGATGGACATGTGCCTCGAGTACGAGAATTTTATGAAATTGGTTCCCAAGAAAAACGCTCATCACCTGCTCCATGTCAGCTCCCCTGATGCAAACAGGGAGCTGTCTCTTTGCCTCCTTATTGCTAAAATTAATAACAGTCAGCTGGGTCGTGTTGTTAAAAAAGATTAAGCAGATTAAAAGTTCTGTTTTAAGCGTTTGCACCGATTTATCCAAATGTTAAAGCCTGTAGGCGAGACTCAGTAGTTCAACAGTATCTTGCAATAATAGTTTGATTCTATGTAAAGTGTGAATAAAACTGTGCACAGTAC